TAACGTTACCTACGTGGTTTTCGTTACATTCCTCAAATTTTCCCAACGAGTCAATGCTGCATCTGAAAACCAATGTAATTTCCGTCATTTGTTCTGTTTAAAGTGTCAGTCCGAAAGCTAGTTTGTTTACTGGTATTTTGTTCTGACTAAAAACACGTCCCATCCTTGCCTCAGAAACCTCCGCCTTCAGTTTACATACGTTCAAGAGTCTTTTCGCGCTTTGGACACGTTTAGCCTCATAAAAGACTATTGTATGCGTTTTATTGATTTCAGGTAACGTTACTCTTTTTGTGAACTAATTCACATTTTTACAGTTATTTGCAGATTTCCAAGTCTTTGGTGACCTCTGTGTCGTGAGGTGTACTGCAGTGATAGATGCGACTGTAAAGCCATGAGATGGTCATTTATGCAGAGAAACATGACATATTTCACCTGGTCCAGGTAGTTATAGTCGATGCTCAATAAGTTTATGATGATTTCTAAGGCAAATAAATTGATCAAGTAAATTATACATTTGCAGACACTACTGAGCAATGTAATGGTGGACAAACCAGAGGACCCCATTCAATACCCGATTAACTTCCTAAAAAGGGACAGTTTTGATGATAAGGTTTTTATTTATTTATGTATTTGCACTATTGATAAATCCTGACTATTTTTGAAATGACCTGTATGAAGGTAATTCGTTCTTATAAAAATACATTCCTTACCACAAGATGGCGCAGTCGTACATAATATCAAATAAGAAGCGTGACTTGAAGTTGGAGCTGTAACTATCCAACTTATTTAACATTGTTCAGATAAAAAGGCAGTTTAAGCTTATTATAGAATGATACTAACTGCCAGCGTTTGGACATCAACTAGAAATACATTGCTAGATTTAATTAGCTATAATGTTGCCTTGCATCTGTAATGTATTAGGAACAGTTCATTCATTTGATTTATTCCAGTGCCAAGAATCATATTGTTGGGTCCTCCAGCGTCCGGGAAAAGAACCATAGTAAATGCATTATTTTAAGTCCCAAACTGAGTAGCTCCAATAATTTCTGCCATTTAAATTTTGTTACAATTAGTGTATATGTTTCTTGTTTATGTATTTTAAAGTGTCATCCAGCACTGCTAGTGTTGTGCTTCCTGTAAATAACTGCATATATTTGTTTCTTTGTCTTTGTGTACTTTCTTCAGTCTTGAAGTGTATTTATAAATACACCTGTCATGTCAATCAGAGTTACGTTTCAATAATGTATTCATCATAGTGACAGCGTCAGGCATCAGAGATCCCAATACTGTCATCTGTACAGCTTTACCTGTTCAGAGTGTTTTCATTTTTGTCATTTTATATAATGCTTCAGATTGTCCTCTTTTGTCGCAGGCTAAAAAGTTGTGTGAGCACACACAGGCTATTCACGTAACTTTTAGCGATATCTTAAAGGATGACAGTGACCTAAGCAGAGCTGCACAGCAGTACCAAGACAAAAAACAGGTGGGGTCTCTCTTTCTCATTCTCTTGAAAACACATGTACTTCTATAAGGTTTACTATAGATTGTTATGACTATATTTGCCTTTTTAGGAGGCCTAGAAGAGGGAATCTGCTTGTAAGCTTGTGTGTGCAACATGTTACTACTTAATTGCAAAGTATCTTCAAGGAAAAGTAGTCTGGAATGCCTTGATCGTGATATTCATTTTAGATGTATAAGTAGGAAAGGTAATGTTGTCAGCATTTGCTACACTCTCTGGATGCCGGTAATTGCTGTCTCTGTGGTATTGTAAAGACATAGAACTGATTTTGTCTGAAGTCTGATCATGCAAATGCAATGCAGGCTAGTTAGTCGATAAATCAGGAGAGTTGAATAGAATTAGAAGAAAAGAGAGAGATGTGCTTAGGAAACGTGCCTCCCAATGGTTTAATTATTCTAATTATCCTCTCACTTAAACTCGCCATAGCCTTGAGTTTAAAATAGAACGATCCAAAAGATTCCAATTATTATCATTTTCACAAAATTCACAAAGGAGAGTGAGATGAAAGCAGCAGAGTATGTCATAAATAGATATTCAACAGCTATTTGAATATTTCTCATATTATGTGTTTAATAATAATTTGATTGTTTTGGTGGACAATTTAAAAGTTGTTTACTATAGAACAGATATCGGTTTAGAAGGTAATGTTAGAAACAAACATGACAGAAGTCAGTTGGTTTATATTCTAATAGATATTCTATTAGACTACCTGACATTCATTATATTAGATAAGATAAGATAAAATAAGATTAGGTTAGATTAGATTATAGGGTTTGATTTGAAGTCAGTTAGTATTAACTATTACATTTGATTTAAAAATGTGCTCTCTGTGATTTAATGTTGCTATGCAGTGTTGGTCTGATCAACATGCAAATGACAGGAGTCTGTAGTTCTGTATTTTTATTTGACTTGACAGCCACCGGTGCAAAGCCATTTCAAATGTTTGTTAATGTTGGTCTGATAGAAGATTCCCAAAGACCTCTGGGTCTAGACTAAAACCAGACTGTATTCGACAGGTAAGGACTTGTTTTTAATTATTTCTTTAGTAATTCATTTAGAAAAATTACCACTGAGCAGTTAACTCAACTTGTCAAGAGAGTGAGAGAAACATATTTTCATCCTGATCTTGCATGCAAGTTTTGAACAGTGTATATTTTTACAAGCGTGATGCCCAAATAAGTTGTCGTATTTTTTCTTTATTTACACTCAACCTTCTATGATAAATAATTAGACGTGTGTTTCTCCACCTCCCTTGAGGACTGCTGGGATGGGTCTCGGGGAATGCAAGACTGCCCGGTGAGAGTTCTCTGAGAAAAGCTTTCATCACCAGCAGGCCCCTCACCGGCTGCCAGTTACATGTGATCTCAGTACTGATGCTAAGAGCCTCACCGCTGAGGTGTCCGTTCACGTACGCTCTCAGATCTCACACCCTTTTGATTCCTCCTTTCATCTCGCCATCAAATCACACAATCAATCACGGTCTCCCTGATCGTGTCTTTCTCTGAAGTGTCAGTTTCTTCTGTGTGGCCGCACGGAGGAATATGTAAATCGTCCGACTCCAAACAGCATCTCCTTTTATTCCTCACTAAACTCCGCAAATGGCTTTACTCAGCCAAGGATCCCATCACGAAACTTTTTTCACTTGCCATCCTTTAACTTTCACCTTTCAATCTCAGTAGTTTGTGATTAGCGACTGCTTTGAATCTAGTAATGGATGTTTATCCCTTCAGGCAAACTGTCTGATAGTATTTATCAGGTTATTTAATTATTTTCCTTCCCGACTGATCTGCATATGAGCAGAGGATTGAGGTAGAGTTTTTCCTCTGTAGATTTAGACATCTGACAAAGCATCTCTGGCTCACCATGAGGAGCCTTCATCTCATGGTCTCCAGCTTCGCACACACTTAAATGGGCCAAAGAATGGAATGATTGACATGTCACATCACCACTGGAGCCTAGACAGCTAAGCTTAATTGCTCTGCCACTGATGCCTACATGTGTGTGTGTGCTTGTCTACCTGTTTTTCCAAATTAAGCAACAATGAATGTTAATCATGCCTAATCTAGGTCATCTAGTTCATCTCCGCCTGTCGCTGCTTCTCAAGCTGTCTTAATTCTTTCTCCCTCGCTCTCTCGTTCTCTCATGAGGCTACTGTTTGTAAAACTTTAGACTTGTACTCTTGTGGAAAATGAAGAGAGGGAGCATAGGTAATGAATAGTGATTTAAAGTAAAATGTCAATTTAATGAGTGCCTTTCAGTCCTGGAAAAAAACGGACCCTAAAGTAAATGAGAAAAAAAAGAAGGAAGGAAAGAAAGAAAGATCATGGGGCGCATGTCACAGTCATCCGGATCCCTAATGAGGCTTCCAAATAAAGTTATGCTGTTTGAATTTGCATAGTGTCTGTAATTCTATTTTGAGGGAGAAAGGAGGAATCTGAAGGAAAGTTTGCAAATGAAATAATATTGTGAAATATTATTGCTTTAAAAAAACTGTTTTCTATTTTAATATATTTTAAAATGTAATTTATTCCTGTGATGGCAAAGCTGAATTTTCAGGAGTCATTACTCCAACCTTCAGTGTCACATGATCTTTCAGAAATCATTCTAAAATACTGATTTAGTGCTCAAGAAACATTATTATTATTATTATTATTAATGTTTAAAACAGTTTTGTTGCCTAATATTGTTATGGAAAGCAAAATACCTTTTTTCCAGGATTATTTTATGAATTCAACGTTGAAAAGAACAGGATTTATTTGCAATAGAAATCTTTTGTAACATTATAGTAATATATACTACATGTGTATACTGTTACTTTTGATCAATTTAATGCATTCTTGCTGAATATAAGCTTTAAATTCTTTAAAAAAAATTACTGACCATGTTTAAAACAGTTTTGTTGCCTAATATTGTTATGGAAAGCATAATACCTTTTTTCCAGGATTCTTTTATGAATTCAACGTTGAAAAGAACAGGATTTATTTGCAATAGAAATCTTTTGTAACATTATAGTAATATATACTACATGTGTATACTGTTACTTTTGATCAATTTAATGCATTCTTGCTGAATATAAGCTTTAAATTCTTTAAAAAAAATTACTGACCCTAAACTTTTGAATGGTAGTGTACCTAAATTAACTAAATAAATGCTTGCTGTTTTTCACTTGACGTGTTCAGTGTTTTCCACTGAGTGAACACTGCATTTAAGACAACATATCAAGTTAATACAATTTCTAAATTTAAAAAAAATTGTATGAGACTTGGGTTCTGTTCTGTTCCTTTGTATGTTACTTCACTTTGTGTGTTTATATTAAAAAAAGAGCAAAATAAATTAACCAAATAATCAGTAGTTAACAGCTAAGTTAACAACTAATTGAGATCTAATTGTAAAAGTCAAGTGGAGTGTTTTGTAGCCGCTCATGCTGTCTTATTGTCAGTCTATTGTGTGGGGGAGCAGCGTGTTGGGGTCTGTGAGTGACATGTCAGAGAGCCGCTTCTGCTCCCCTGCCTTGCCTGCTGTTGGGCTGACTGGTGACATCTGCTCCACGCATGTCCCTCCTGTGATAGCTGGCCTCACTGCAGATGTTTCAGTCCTGGGGTCTCTGTCTGAGCCCACTGCTACAGCACCACAGCCTCTTTTGATGTGGGGATGAAACGGAATGAAGCAAGTCGCAGTGGGGCTGTGTGTTCAGATGTATGTGTGTGCGGGAGTTAATGTGTGCAGAGAGCATGTATGTATGTGCAGAAGTTTGACTGAAACAAGTTTGGGCTCAGTCTCCTCGTCAAACCTCTGAATGTTTACAGTTGCAGATTTGTATATAATCCGCTCCTCAACCGATGTCTGTGTGTTCTGTGATAAATATTATTTTACTATGTTCTTCTAGAAATGCTCCACATCAATAAACTAAACAGACACGATAAAGGTTCCAAGAGGGGGTTTTCGCAGTGATGTCAAAGAACCATTTTTGGTTCCAAAAAGAACCTTGAACAGTTCGTAAAGAACCGTTTTTTTCTTAGTGTGAAGAAAAGTTTAAAAAATCTAAAGAACCTTTCTCCACTGTTAAGAACCTTGTGTGCAAAGGAAAATTTCCATGGACGTTAAAGGTTCTTGATGGAACCATAAATGCCAATAAAGAACCTTTATTTTTAAGAGTGTACTGACATTTGTAATTCAAGAGGCTGTAGTTTGCTCAACATCTACACTGTATTTTTCTATATTCATGGCAGTTAGATTGTGTAGGCTAGAGGCCTTTCAAGCAATCTGTGAGTCAGGCCCTGCTCATGGGCTTCCCAGTCACAGAGGCAATCAAATGCTTAATGGGAAAGTAAGTGGGAGGAAACTTGCGCGCTGAGATCAGGTAAAGCAAAGGATAGGTTTGCCGGTAAAGATCAAAGCCTGAAAAAACAAAGGCTGATATCAAACAGACACTCGAAACTCAGCAGCAAAAACCCACAGCTCCTCTGATAATACTTAGATCTATAAATGTTTGTTGCATATATTTATTTATTTTAAGATTATTCGCTGCAGTAATAAGTTGGCCCCTAACAAGCACTTTTGGGAGATGGTTCTTTGACTGTTCGTTATTTTACCGCACCATTGCACAGGAAGCCTTGGGATTTAGGAGACTATTAGAGAGGAGGATTTTTTTTATGGATTTGTAACTAATGAATGATATGCATGTGGTTTTCTTTCTTCTTATGTTATTTTTATTGCTAAGTGAGAAGTGTGGAGAGGAGCTGGAGAATTAGGTACATTTTCAAGGATTTTATGGATTTAACCCTCCATTTGCCTCCCTGCACGAGACCCCATATGGGCCAGTTTTACTCCTTATTCATACAACAATTTATACATTCATTATTTAGACTGGTACAGGGCAGCAATTTATATGAATTATTCATATAAAATTATTCATTCAAAGCCTATTACTGTTTTTTAAAAGTATTTTTCCAAGCAGGATATTGTTTTGCCTATATAAAAACAATTTTAAACTACAATTTAAGCACAGTAGCTGACCGTGGGGAAAAGCAAGTGCATTTATAGAAATGTAAACAGAAAAATTGTGTGCGTGCGCGTGTGTGTTTGTTTAAGACAAAATGCGCAGAAGGTGTCAGCATCGTCTGTGTCACCAGCAGAGTTGGACTCCGTCACCAGAGAGTTGGATTATTGTTTAAAGCAGATTATTTGTTCCTTCTCAAGAGAAGTATGTGTATAATATATGCATTGTATTTCCAGGGCTGGGTTTTGGAAGCATTCCCAAGACACAAGTAAAGTATTTTTCCAAGCAGGATATTGTTTTGCCTATATAAAAACAATTTTAAACTACAATTTAAGCACAGTAGCTGACCGTGGGGAAAAGCAAGTGCATTTATAGAAATGTAAACAGAAAAATTGTGTGTGTGTGTGTGTGTGCGTGCGCGTGTGTGTTTGTTTAAGACAAAATGCGCAGAAGGTGTCAGCATCGTCTGTGTCACCAGCAGAGTTGGACTCCGTCACCAGAGAGTTGGATTATTGTTTAAAGCAGATTATTTGTTCCTTCTCAAGAGAAGTATGTGTATAATATATGCATTGTATTTCCAGGGCTGGGTTTTGGAAGCATTCCCAAGACACAAGAAGAGGCGCTATATCTACAAGAAGCAGGCATCACTCCAGATCATGTTGGCTAGTGGCATGTTGTCCAAACATTTTGTTGTTCCCAACTGAAAAACAAGAGGTTTGAATCAAATACCCAAATATCAAATATCCCTCGGACTCGCTATCACTCCCTAGAGGATTTGTCAGACTCTAGCGCTTTCTTTTAACTCTTTCCTCACAGTGATGCTGGAAGCTCCTGATGTCGTCCTGATTGAAAGGAGCTCGGGCCAGAGGATAGACCCTGTCACAGGAGGTAATGTCTGTATGATCATTACACTTTTCTTAGTTCAGAGAGTGGGACTGGGAGACAGGTAGCCAACACGCACCCTTGTTAGAATGCACTTCATTTTCTGTGGACCTTGACAGCGCTCAACCTGTTTGCCGAATCCCAAATGGGTCCAGTGTGTCCTCAGGGTTTCAAAAAGCCCAGCTGTAATGAACAAAAGCCAAAGCTCCCTGCAGATTTGTGATGGTGCGAATGCACCATTTTCACATAATTGCCATTTTCCCTTTTGTTTATTTATGATCTCTGTTTATGAATCTTTTTTTAGGACATTCACTGTCAAAATAAATGCTATGATAAAGTTTTTTGTATTTTACACAAAATATTTCCACCTCAGTACATATACCCCGGTGTATATAATGTGAACTTACCCACATATTTCCTTTCCATGTTTCAGATGTATATCACGTCACCTTCATGTGGCCTGAAAGTGAAGAGGTTGCACAGCGTTTAGAAACACCTAGTACACTGATGCCAGCTAATCTTATAGCCAAGAAGCTTCAGAAGTTCCACACAGAAGCTCATGCTGTGAAGCGCACATTCCACAGCTGCCTGAAGACCATCAATGCTGACCAGCCCCATGTAGACGTCTTCTCACAGGGTAAACTTCACCACCGTTACCTGGTCTGGTACCAGGTCCATCCATCTGCATTAAAGGGATACTTCTCCCAAAAAAATTTATTGTTGTTGCAAAACTGTATGACTTCTATCAGCGGAACACAAAAAATATATATTTTAAAGAATTTTGGTACAGTAACAGTTTTGATGACTATTGACTTTCATTGTATGGGGGAAAAAACAGACTTTTTTCAAAATATCTTCTTTTATGTTCTAAATAATTTCATACAGGTTTGGAATGATATATAGGTAAGTAAATGGTGACCGAATTTTCATTTTTGGCAGCATTTTGTCTATCCCTTTAAATTAGTGTACAGATCTTCTTGTCAAACTACTGGTTAGCAATGACTTTGAGGTAAGAAATTGATATTAGGTGGTATTTTCCATTGGTTGCTAATTTAATCAAGTCATTTGAATTCAAAACACAGACTGTATCTCTAAAAATGTCTGCAGATTAGGCTTAGGTAGGTCACTGAGTTACATTTATAGCTTTTTAAACATTTCTACTAATATCACCTACTGTGATGAACCAAGATCTACCGCCCCTATTGGTCGGAGGTCAGTAGCGCAGCGGCTGTATTCAGAGGCAGTGATTGACCAGCTTGTCAAGCACTCTGCCAGTTGAGGAGGTTGCCTCCGGCAGCTCTGCAGGCACAGACTATCCCATGAGAACCTGGGCAGGGATGAGCGGTCCTCGCCAATTACATTAAAACCATCTGAATACAACCTGTCTAAATATTATATCGCTCAACTTGACAAAATAATTTTGTCACTTCCCTTCCTTTAGTTATGAGGTAGAGCTAGGCAGTGAATATTTAAACCACTCTTTGCATACATCACTTTGACTGTAGCATTAGGCAGGTTCGCAGCATTTTGTGAAATTCATACCACAGTTTTTTAATAACAAAGATGCATAATTATCATACGAATGAGTATGCATGGATTTTATAGCCAGTCATTCTATATTAAGGTCAGCACTTTTAGAGAGATTTGTCATAAACCGCCGTCTGTCTATCACTTTTACAATATTTTGCCAGCTCAGGCTACATAAACATGAGCTGGGAGAAATTCAAATCCAGTTTTGGACTGGTTTCTCTCGCTTTCTCATAGAAGTTAGGCGTATCTGGGGGGAAATAAAGGCTCATTTAGTCTCATGGCACATTAGTATTAAATCCAAAATGCTCCACTTGAGTATCTATCAAGGAAGCGGCCCTCCGGCCTAATGGTTTTGCACTGTGGGCTTGATTTGTAAATTGTAGATTTAGGACAGTGTGCCATTATGCTTTAATCTTGACTCAACTGCACCTGATTTTCTTCATACGTCTAAATGGAGGACATTAAATAAATATTTGAGATAAACTCTGCCATAAAACATTCATAAACCCATACTGAGGTACAAACAGCAATAAGGCTGTCATCTTAAATCTTGATTAGCGCTAATTCAGCATGCAGTTTGATTGTAACGTCGCTAGTTTCCCCCTGACTTAGCCTTTTAGCACATTAACATGTTTTGCATATTAAGCATTTATCATGTTGTTGTATAACAATTAGCAGCATAAAGGGCTGGATGAGAGGGACTCATTAGTTATGATTAGGCTGTTGTTAATCATCGCACATTAGAATGGCAGCTCAGTGCAGGTTCCAGACAAACAGCATTGTTGTGAGTGAAACCCAACTACAAACAGATGGCTTCGACGTGGATGTCACACTACAAGCAAATGCCCCCGTGGACATGAAAGGAAGACTCTAATGATTAATTAATCAAGTGGCTTTATATTCGGTTTAGTGGCAATCTCTGTTTATGATCTGAGTGAATGGGCTGTCACCAGCCTCACAAATGTGCTCTATTATCTATCTTACTCTGTTAAACATTCAGTAGACTCTGTCTGTGCCTGTGTTGTTTTGTATTAAAGTATGATACAGCAGTAAACAATCACTATAGGGTTAGAGAAAATTATATTTAATCTGTGTTTGGTTGCACAAACATGTTTTGTAATGCATACCGTTCAAAAGTTTGAGGTCATTTCAAATAAATGCTGTTCTTTTGAACGTAATGTGCATCAAAGAATCCTATATTAAGCAGCACAACTGGGTTCAACATTTAAAGTAATAAAAAAACAAATCAGCATATTATTTCTGAATGATTATGTGACATGGAAGACTGGGTTAATGACTGCAGAAAATGTATCTTTGCCGTCACAGGAATAAACTACATTCTAAAATACAATATAATTACAGCTATTTAAAATTCGAATAATATTTCACAATATTACAGTATTTTTAACTGTATAAATAGAGCAGTGATGAGCATAAGAGACTCAACATTCATGAAAGAAAAAAATAAATAAATACAGATCTGACCAATCCCAAATTTTGGACGTTCCTGTATCATTAATGCATTTGTGGTGGCACTGATAGCTACATTTAGTTTTCAGCTTGAATAGATATGTAATCTCATTTATTTGCCTGACATGTTGTCTTTCATTCACTGAAAATTATCTAAACATAATAGTAGTTTAGCCAAAATGTAAAATTCTGTCATTATTTACTCGCCCTCATGTAGTTTCAAATGACTATACTGTTATTTTTTTTTGTTTAACACAAAAGTAGACATTTTTGAAGAATCATTATGCAGCTCTTGCCATACTACAACTGTTTATAGTGATCAGGTGCTGTCAAGCTTAAAAAAGGATACAAAAACACCAAAAATCATAATAACAGCATATGGGTTTAGTACAACATGAGAGAGTAAATAATGACTAATGAGTCAACTGTGTCCATAGGTGTATGTTGTTTTTTTATTATAATTTTAATTTGAACTTTCTTCTGTTCTTTCCTATATCTCTGTCGCTGTAGTTTGTTGTGGTAAGCTTCTGAAGGCAGTGTCAGCTGATGAGAGCCATATGGGGGAGCTCATTAAACCCTACCTGGAGTCAGAACAGCAAGGTATGCCTCCCCACCTCCACTATACCTACTGCCAAATGGGTCAATCATACAGAACAAGTGAAACCCCAGTCTGGATGCTGCAGAGTTCTGATTCCTGCTTTTGACCAGATAATTGGACCCCCTACAGCCAGAATAGTCTGATTGGTGAACATGTTGTCCTATATTCACATATATGACATTAGTTTATGGTAATTGCATTCTAAATGATTGTCATATAATTTGCAGTATGTAATTCTGTAGACAGGTTTTCTTACTTTTAAACAAAATCACAGTACTTGCTGGCTTCTTACCCTACAGGTTTCTACTCTAGACAACCAGTACTTTTATATTTTGAATACATCACATTGCTCTAGATGTCTTGACTCTCTGTGACCTTTCATTCATCCTCAATATTGTTATTCCCTTCCCATCTCACACCCTCTGTGTCTGCCCAACACCTTCCTGTTCTAAATCCCTCAGAGACCATAAGTAAATACAGTGTATATATATATATATATATATATACTGTCCCGCCCCTCAGAGAATGCATTCATCCGCTGGGACTGCCAATCACTGCCTTTATCACAGCTCCAGCCCGAGCTACTCGCCTTGAGCAAGTCATCTTTAATTTAATAAAGATTCTCATGGGATGCGAATCACAGAATATAAGCATGCATTTTTATGTTTTGTACTTTTCACCTTTTTGACACTTTCATTGATAGTAAATAGAAGACAAAAAATGGGAAGAAGAGGAAGTACGGGACTAGGAATGACACAAGCCAGATTTACAAACTTGCATCAAATCAAATCAAAGTTTATTTACAGAGCTGTCACATTTATGTTCCGTTCATGGACTTTGGTTGTGTTTCTTTTATTTCCTGTTCTCCTGTTTAGTTTTGTTCCTTGACCTAGGCTGCGTTTTTTATGCCCTTCACTCGCAAACTTTTGCATTGTGGTCTATGGAGCGGCCTGAAGTATGCATATGAAGCAGACTCGCTCCCTCGGTCAAAATCGAGGGGTCGAGGGTCTGTCCATATAAACTTCACTCGTCCACTTCACGAAGTGGAACGCACTTCAAAATGGCAGCGGGGATTCCCCCGAGGGGAAGTGCTTAGGGAAGTTTGCAAGTGCATGTCTAAAAGTGGAGTGGAAAGCAGCCTTAGTTTTCCTTAGTTCCCTTGATTAGTTCATTCTGTTCACCTGTGTCCTGTTAATTTAGTCATTAGTCCCTCTCTTGCTTTTGTATAAGTACTCTCCGTTTCTGTTCAGTCCTTGCTGGTTATTGTTTGATGTTATATGTTGGTTGTGCTGCATTTTCCCTGAGTTTCTCCAGTGTTTCTTCTGTGGATTTATTAAAGGGCTGTTATTTGGAATTCTCCGTCATCTTGTGCTCCTTACCGCACCAACATGTGACAAGAGCACTTTTTAAAATCAACAATTGTTTTGCAAAGTGCCGTACAAGCATAAACAAAGCAAAACTATTTTACACATAACAAACAATAACACTAACCAAATACATAAAACAGCTCTCATACTGCGTTAAATGCCAGAGCATGAAAATAAGTTTTAAGACTGGATTTAAAAACAGCAAGTGTTTGGGCCTGCCTAACATATAGAGGCAAGTTATTCCAAAGTTTTGGGGCTGCAACAGCAAAAGCCCGGTCACCCCTGCTTTTCAGCTTTGTTTGAGGTACAACCAAGAGCAAACGGTCAGTGGACCTAAGTGCTCTCGATGGATCGTGCGGCTGTATTAAATCAGAAAGGTAACTTGGTGCCAGTCCATTTAATGACTTATAAACTAAAACTAAAACCTTAAAATCAATTCTAAAATGAACAGGAAGCCAATGAAGAGAAGCCAGGATGGGTGTAATTTGTTCGCGCATGTATGACCCTTTCAAAATCATTAAAAGACAAAAAAGACTTGACTCTTGATAATTGCCTCAACTGAAAAAAATAATAAACTAGATTCAATTACGGAATTAATTTGTTTATCCAATTTAAAATCACTGTCCATTATAACACCCAATTTTTTAACATTTGGCTTTACATATGATTTTATAACTCTCAAATCTAAATCAGGTAGATCACAGGTGTTGCCATTGCATCGCTTAAATGAGCTACATATCATCTTATTGTTTTACTATTCATATTCTTATCTGTAAATCAATAGTTCAACCAAAAATGAACATTCTGTAATTTACTCACCCTACGCTCATGTTGGTCCAAACCTGACCTTCTTTCTTCTGTGTAACACAAAAGGATATATTTAGGATATATATATATATATTTATATATATATATATATATATATAAAGAATATATTCAGTGGGGTCCAAACAACATTATCCTTTTATTGTAAGAATTTTTAAAAATGATTTTAACACCATGTGATAACTTTCATTAATATAATAGAATTATTATATTATATTGTTTGATATTATTATATTATATTATATTAAATTACACTTTTTGAAGTTTTAGGATAACCATAACTAACATTATTGCAACAGATAATTAGTTCTTGTACATTTAAATATTTACACATCACAAAACTTTGATACACATTTCTTGCTACCAAATAATATTAATTTTACTGTATATGGAATATTGTAGGAATAAAACCTATTATGGCTCATACAGAAGTCTTGAGAGTGGACTCAACTTAGGTTTATTTATTACCTCTGAAGAGTACACATGCACACCCCATATGACCAGATCTGTCAGAGCATGTTAAGTGTCTAGCAGTATCTGTCACATGCAACATACTGTATGTTCATAAATTCATGTTGAGTGTTTGTTGAAGTAGCAATGTGTGCATAAGAAATGCTATGTAAATGTTTTGTTAGCTCGTATTCCATTGCCTTGTTGAACAGGATTGTGGTATCCTGGGAGAGGGGGATTTTTGTGCCTTCTCTCTCTCTCTCCTTTGGCTCTCTCCACCCTTTTCCTGTGACAGTGAGGATTTGAGGCAGAGTGCTTGCCTAAATAATTTACAAGTTGATTAATGGCCTCACAGGGGTATAATTAGGCGATGGAGAGCTTGTGGCTAGTGTAACCAGTACAGTGCTTCTGGGATTTGAGAAGCTGGATTATTAAGCAAACCAAAAAATAGTCTTAGGAGAAGTGAAGAAGGAGAGGAAAGAAAGAAGAGGAAGCCTCTCCAGGCTGCCTGATGTTTGAAGCAGGGCTGTAGAGATAGGCAAGAGGCTGTGTGCGTTTGATGTGGAAATTGGACAGTTTGAAACCGTCGACTTTAATTTTTCACCAACTGCGGGGACCCCCCTGGGTGCCAGCTTGCTTTCTTTAAAGAATGCTGTTCTATTTTCTCTTCACCCTCGTTATTTGCTTGTCCTCCGCCGCTCTCGTTAATTTTCCCGCAGTATTACGAGCGCCACCCTCCTCTACTGTGCTTTCCGTCGGTTTTAAGAGGTGCCATCATCCCCTTAAACAGTTCGCTTATGTTGCCTGTCAGTCAGCCATTGACTGCTTTTGTACTCTGAGAGGGACCCATGAAATATCTTCAAAAGACAAAACGTGCACACATGAATTTAAATAACACCATGTCTGCTAATTATTTATCACCTCACATCTGAATAAACCGTCTTGATTTGATACAGATACAAACAAAAGGCACGTCCTTGACAGTACCGCTTGATGATGAGATCACTGATGCTTAGCATGGAGATGATGCTGTTACAGTTTTCCTCAGTCTATCTCCTTAATTTAATCATCTTAATGGTGCACCCCAGCTCTCTAGATGCCCTGCACCTCGGTCTAAGTGAAACATTAATTTAGCTTTCTGTCCGCTTGTGCCAATGTGTTTTCGAATCAGCTTGTATTAACTGTTTATTTTGTACTTCAAACCCTTAAAACTGCATCCTATATTTGCATCTTTCGTATTTCAAAAACTTCTTCCAGTACCTGGAAGGAAGTAAACAAATGAAAGGCCTTTGTCACATCCGTTAGATCTATAACACTGTGATATGATGTCCTACAGGGAGGAACATATACAGTATTTCAAACAAATGCTAAGCAGGTGTGTTTGTGTGTGCATCTCATGGGGTAAACCCCCTCTGTACACCATGTTTACAGTATATAGGACGAGTGTCATTCAAAGGACACAGCAAGTTGATTCTCAGGAGTCTAAACCTCAACATTTTTGAGGTTTTCGAAGTTTGCCTTAATGTGATTTCTCTTTTTCTACTCTTTGTATTATTGTACTTCTGTCATGTAATTAGGAAGAAGTTATAAATAGGCGATAACTGTATCATATTATCGCTATGTTTGTGGTTTAATCTGTACAGTGCCATCAAGTATAGTCCTGCGGATCCTTACTGAGAGATTGAGCAGGATGGACTGTACCACACGAGGCTGGGTGCTCCATGGCTTTCCTCAAGATGTGGAGCAGGCAGAAGAACTCCAAGAGTCTAATTTCATACCAAACAGGTATATTAGTCAATATAAACCAATTTAGATGGCTGTAAATGTTGAAACTCAGCATGTTAACTGCCATTCCATAACTGTGGAAGGCATATGACTGTACAGAGATCTAAACTATTATCACAGTGATTTGTACCAATGGTTCTCAGTTTGTTTCCCATTCCCTTCTCCCTTTGAAACTAGAAAAAAAACATCTACACCACCACAACCACCATAATCTGGTTGACTATTAGTAGTTTTGACATTACGGGATAGTTTACCCAGTTCTGTGATTTGTGTGATAATTTACTAACCCTCATGTTGTTCTAAAAGAAGATATTTTGAAAAAAATCAAATTTTTGACACATTAATTATACATGTGGGAATGTTTGTTTTTGAAATCTCTTATGCTGCATTTATTATACAGCAAAAATAGTCCAAAATCATGTTCCGCTTGGGACCCCTGGACCCACGCAATTGCATGGTTTGCGTTGGTGCCTAAACATGCTACTGAAAATAGTAACATTGTGAAATATTATTACAATTTAAAGTAACTTTTTTATTTTTATATATTTTAACATGTCATTTATTCCTGTTATGGCAAAACTGAATTTGCAACAGCCATTACTCTCCAGTCTTCAGCTTAACACTGTTGAAAACAGTTTTAATATTTTTTGTGGAAACCAAGACACATTTTTTTGACATATTGAGGATACTTTGATGAAAATTATACATTTTTTGTAACAATATAAAAATTATTACTGTGACACTTTGGATCAATTTAATGCATCCTTGCTGAATAAACGTATTAAAAAAAAAGAATTTACTGACATCAGTGAATGTTACAATGGGCAAGGAACTATGCAGCTATGCAAGCATGGTGCATTTGCATGTAAGGAAGTGCAAAATATATGAGAGCTGGGGGTTCACCACACATTGAAAACCCCTGGTTTACATTCAATTCTGTCCTCTATCGATTTCAGCCTATGGATTATCTATCCACTGGATTCTTATTTATTTACTGGCTGTAGGACCTTCACAGTGACAGACATGAGAGATGTAAACAGAGATGTAACCATACTGTAGGTTTTTAGATAACAAAAACAAAACAGAAGAGGAGTGTATGAAACTTTCAGGTTATTATTTGTGATTTGTGTCTCTTTGGTTATCCTAAATAGTGAGTGTAACCGCAGGGCTCAGATTGCCCTCTCAGATTACCCTTAGCTCTGCTGCCCTGGAGGATCTGATGCCACTTAGATTATACAACCTGTCCTCTGTGTGTGTCCCCTCATCAGAGAGCTCACTTTGAGGTTAGGTCATCAGTGAAAATAACCGTGTCCCAATTCTGTCTCCTTTGACACAGAAGCAAGAGCAGGAACACAAATCTGTGCAGTAACATTAGAAAAATTCTACATGATCACCGTAGGGCCTCCTTTTCAACCTGTTGCTACTCATCATGATTTCTCATCATATATACTCCATCTTATGTGCTCTCTGGTATTAAGATTTTATCCCAGAGATCAGCAAGCAGCCATGGTGTCTGCTTCCCGCGCCGCTTCTGTGTAGCAAGGCCTTATTTCCTCCATTAACAGCCCATGTTGTTTGGGCTAATGGCAGGAGACCTTATTTGCATAGCATTAGTGTAATTGATTCGAAGGCCCGTGGTTAGCCTGGCCCTGAAACAATGGGGAGATAATGTTTCCGATGGGCCGATGATGGCCCGATGGCGGCGCTGTACCTGACAGCTTTATTAATTAACAGCTCTCTAGTTACCAGGCTTTAGTGAGGATGAATAAGTCAGTTCCTCCTGGAGCAGTGCCAGGGCATGGGCATTTAATAGGTGTCACTGGCAGAAGGGAGAGGGGACAGAGTGCAGCAGTGTTGGCATACTGGTTAGATTGGAGGGATCCCTTTACCCATTTCCTGAAAGGGCTCCATTAACAGAGAGTCATTGCCTGCGATAAGTGCCAAGACGATGTTGTTTGTGTGGCACCAGAGTCTTTAGCTTGTATTGACAAACTCATTTACTTTGTGTTGTTAATGCTATTGTAAAGTGGATTAAAGCCCAGTGGATAGTCTTATTTTAAGAGCTTTGCTTTAAAAAAAATTCACTGTGGCGGTACCTTTTCTAATTTAGGTACTAATACGCACACATTAGATAATAATACCTTTTAGGTACCAATATGGCACCATCAGGTACAAAGGTGTAACGTTTGAAAAGGTACCGCCCCAATGACAGCTTTTGTACTTTTTTTTTTTCACTGTGGCGGTACCTTTTCTAATTTAGGTACTAATACGCACACATTAGATAATAATATGTACCTTTTAGGTACCAATATGGCACCATCAGGTACAAAGGTGTAACGTTTGAAAAGGTACCGCCCCAATGACAGCTTTTGTACTTTTTTTTTTTTGGAAATTGTACTTTGGCTTTGTATTGTTCATATATATACCTACAATAATGACCTATTTGGCTTTCTGAAGATTTTGTAGTGGCAGGTTTTTCACAGTATTAGCTGTCTGCTCCAGTTAGCGCTCCCTCTTTTGTCATGTAAAGGAAGTTACCTGATCCATGAAAGACGAAAGAGGAAGAAAAGGAAAAAGGATTCTCGCTAATGAAATTCTCTCATCAGATAAATGAAGATGCCTTTGCTCTGGTTTCTGAGGGTGCAATCATCTGATCCTCTTTCAAAAGCTGATCAGTCACAATTTGCTGTGGATGTGTGACACTTTCATTTAGAAGGAAATCTAGAATTAGCTATTGTTATGTACAGTATGAACCCCAGAGCAACATGTAAGGCAATGGTTTCAAGGGTGAGCGTGATTTCACCAAGTACAACATGTTCCTGGATCAACATTCTTGTAGATCCTGGAACAACATTCCTATCAACCAATCAGAATTGAGGGATAACTTTTCAGGAAATATCTGTTTTAGGCTTACAATCAGGGTTAGGTGCTTCTACACCCTTGTTAATCAGCTATCATTTTACACTGTTTTTAGGAATAAATTAGGGGTAGGGTTAGGTTCAGGGGTAGGGATTGGGTTAAGTCTATATTTTTGGACAGTTATGTTGATCCAGGATCATGTCTTACTTGGCAAAAATCACGGCGACCGGTTTCAAGGCCCCACATGGACCACAACAATATTTGAAGGCCCCATGATTTTTTCCAAGTCATTTGTGATTTACTGGAAAAGGATTTTTTATTCCCAATTTCTAATGATAAAATATTTTAGATCTTTGCATAACTATAAAAATGTATATTCATTATAAAAGTTCATTTACATGACTAAATCTACACTTTTAAAATTTGATTTAAAAGTTGTTGGTTTAGCATAAAACAGCTAAACTTAAAATTGTAGCTGTTTTAGTATATTTTAATGCTTGGTCCCCTTTTGGAAGTTTGTTGAGGCCCTCTGGTTGAGAACCACTGTTTTAAGGGATGCTTTCTCAAAAGTAGAATTCTGTCCAAAATCTTAAGACATTTTAGGTGCTCTTTTCCCTTTAATGAATGTGAAAGGACAAAAAGGTACTGTGAAATTATTATAAAAGTGATCCTTACAGCTTGTGGTCTATATTTCAAAATCTCTGAAGCTGTGTAATAGATTTGTGGAACAGAAATGTATTATCTTTTGTAAATCTTGACATCTGCCCTGGTTCATGAACAGGCTTCAGTGATTCATACATAAATCAAACTGATCCGGTTCTCAAATTCTCTTTGGTCTGTTTTCTTACATAAAACTATTGTTTGACTTCAAAAGACTATATAAATCACAAGTCATATAAACCACTTTTATGGTGCTTTACTACTTTAGTTTCGCTGGTCTCACTCCCACCCCTCCTACCAGTCTTTAACTACTCTCCAGTTTGGCTAGTCATCAGCCTCTTACAGCTTTGACACACTTGCAAACAATCAGAGTCTTTGGGAGCTTTGAAATATGCATGGCTACCTGTGACAGGTAGATAAAGAAGAGCAATTAGCCATGTAAGCTAAGAGTCTGGCCCAATTACCTGCTCTCGTCCCTGCCTCTCTCTCTCTCTCTCTCTCTCTCTCTCTCTCTCTCTACCTGCACTGCGCTCTTGCTCTCTATTACTTAAATGTATTCCATGCGTCCGCTCCCCATCAAATCAAGCAACTCTTCCTCTGATTGGCTTATCAATTATACAGCAGGGGCAGCATTACAATTTAATCAGTGGTAAACATTGCCGTGGCCACCTGTAAAGAATCTTTCCCTCATTAATGTCTTAATTTGGAGAGATAGAAAGGGAGGCAGAGGGGCTGATGGGCTGATGGGAGCGGCAGCGCTCAGAGAGATCGGATGGACCGAGACCTTCTTGGATCACTTCAGCTCAGCGAGTAAACTGAAGAACAAAAGGGTCAAAGGTTACCATCTACTTAATATATACCGTATACCAGTGGAAGAACAGAAATGCACACACATACACGCATATACTGATGACAGGATATGCCAAGACTTGTGCGGTTTGTGATCAATTGTAGCAGCTGAGGACTGTCAGGCTCTTGTTATCTGCATTGTTTTAGTAAGTCATTTGTTAGAGGATCTCGAGCTGTCACGTAAGAAACATCTAATGTAAATCAATTCATCTTGTACAGCTCCCCCCCACATAAAATTGGGGGAATGAGAAGAAAGGCGAACACAAGCCCCCACCCTTCCATCCTCCAGCCTCAGACACAACGCACCATCCTCATAAATATTTCATGAGGAAGCATAAATATTAATTCTAATAGCTTTGCAGAGTAGTTATTATTTCTTTTTTAAGACAAATATTCATAAAAAATTGAGAGAACTGAACTTTAAAACTGAAATAATTAAACCTACACACACGCACACACACACATTATCATGCCTCTTAAACACATCAAATATCTTGCATTTTCAATCCAGACTAATAGTCAGTTAAAGCACCATGTCTCCTTTGTCCATTTCAGAGGGCCCATTGGTTCACAGTGGTACTGAGAGCCATGAACACAAAGACATTTAAATATTTGATCAAAAGCACCAACTTAGATATCTTTCTCCCATTTTCCTTTCTTTTCTCACCCCTTTTTGTGGAAAAGACCTCATGATGTACAATTCCTATTGGTCTTTATCTATAGCTAAATTGGTGCAGAATTGCATCTCACAACAATCTCAGTCTACGTAAAATGTTTAGGTGGCTAAAAATTATGATGTGGAAAAGGCTGTGTGGTTTCTGTCCTCTATAGGCCTGGCTGAAATCATTTGGGACAAGACTGGCATGTAACCCCCCCGCCCCCCACCTGACCACACCATTTGGCACACTTTGTGTATGCACAATGTTAAAGCATAATGACCCCTGGGTAGAGACCCCAACATTCCTCTGTTTGAAGTCCCCTCGTGACCCAGGAGAGTATCCCTGTTTTCCATTATTTTCTTCATAATTTATTTAGCTCTAATACCAGTGTATTATGATTATTGCTCTCTGAATGCTAGATGGAGTCTTCATATAATGGAATAATGGATTTATATGATTTTCGCTTGACGTTATGATTTTTGCAGGCATTTTGACAATTGTATGTGGGAATTGTAAAGAATTTAAAGTGACATGTAGCCAAGTATGGTGTCCCATATTTGGAATTTGTGCTCTGCATTTAACCCATCCAAGTGCACACACAGAGCAGTAAGTAGTAAACACACACACCATAAACACACACCTGGAGCAGTGGGCAGCCATGCGGCACCCACCGAGCAGTTGCGGCTTCGGTGCTTTGCTCAAAGGTCTCACCTCTGTCATGGTATTGAAGGTGGAAGAGAGCGCTGTACATTCCTACCTACCTTGCCAGTACCGCGACTAAAACCCTCAACCTTTGGGTTACTAGTCGACTCTCTAACCATTAGGCCACAACTGCCATAATGGTTCTAGTTCCTGTTACAATTCTGGTTCCGCAAAAGGTACACAACAGTTCAAATGTTTTGGGTCAGTAATATTTTTTCATGTTTTTGAAAGAAACCTCTTATGCCCACCAAGTCTGCATTTATTTGACCAAAAATACAGTAAAAACTATAATATTGTGAAATATTATTACAATTTAAAATAATTTTCTATTTTAGTATATTTTAAAATGTAATTTATTCCTGTGATGGTAAAGCTGAGTTTTCATTCAGTCATTACTCTAGTCTTCAGTGTCACGTGATACTTCAGAAATCAAATCATTGATTTGGTGCTTAAGAAACATTTCTTAATATTAGCAATGTTGAAAGCAGTTATACTGAAACTGTGATGCATATTTTTCAAGATTCTTTAATGAACAGAAGGTCAAAAGAGCAGCATTTTGTAACATTATGTCTTTACTGATACTTTCGATCAATTTAATGTCTTTGCGGAATAAAAGTATTTTTTGAATTGCACTGTATGTTTACACAGACTTATAATTACTTTTTACAGGGTACCTCTCTTTTGACCATTTTTTGGTAACATTTCATTCATTCATTTTTATAAAATGACACTGACAGAACACATGGCATGTATCTTTCTATATATATCTGACTGGTCTCACCGTTAGTTAATATATACTTTATATTATTATTATTATTATTATTATTATTATTGTACTACGCTGATCACACTCACTTTTTCTCTTTTTAATAAATTTTTTTTAACCCCAGTTCCCAAGCCTAATTGTTTTTGTCTTTCATTGTTTTTAAATGAGCCTATGTCTTTGGCATTTAATATCTTTACCAAGCAGCTTTTTTTCTCAGATTTGAGAGGATCACAGGTATCATAACAGACTTCCACATGATATCTTCCTCTCTCCCCTCTAGGCTCTTCTTCCTGGAGATAACTGATGACATTGCTATTGAGAGGGTAACACTTAGGGGTGTGGATCCTGTGACTGGAGAATGGTGAGAAAGAATCAGCTTAGTACATTGTAAATTTGTGTATAAAGAATCCATTCCTTTAGGTTCCATTAAACACATATATGCATTCTGAATGTCACGTTTGAAATCTGCAGGTATCACAGCATATATAAACCTGTCCCTGGTCCAGAATGCAGGCCCGGCTTCGATTTAACCCACGGCATTCAGAGGCACAACTGCTAAAGAGGCTTAAGGAGTACTGGAACCATACAGCGGACCTGCAGGCCTTCTACCCACAGGCAGTTTACATCAATGCTGGCCAGGACCCACACACCGTGTTTGAGTCACTGGAGAGTAGGCTTGTGGGCCAACTACCCAAAGTCCTGTCTAACCGAGAAACATCTGAGAGCTAAACACTGTTATAGGGATACTCCACCCAAAAACATTTTCTCTCATCATTCACTCACCCTCATGCCATCCCAGGTATATGACTTTCTTTGTTCTGTGGAACAGAAGCTGAGATTTTTAGAAAAATAATTCATCTCTGTGAATCTATATAATGCAAGTGAATGGGACCCTCAAAGCTGACGCTTCAAAAACCACACAAAATGAACATGATGGTAATCCATATGATGCCTGTGGATGTCTTCTGAAGTGAAATGATGGGTGTGTGTTAGAAGAATACTGATATTTTCAACTTTTTGACACTATAAACCATCGCTTCTGGCCACTCTAGACAACTGTCAAATGCAGGTTCATGAGTTTACTCTTGATGTAAATTTGACATAAGCCCATTGTGAAACTCATGCAAGAGGTGTTGCAGTAGAGGAACACGATTACATCACACTTCATGTGCTGATGTTTAAATCAAGCGTTAACTTATATATCAGTTGGCTGGAAGCAATGGTTTATAGTTTAATGTTTATATGAAAGTTTAAAATATTCATATTTTTCTCACACACACACACACACCTGTGGTTTAGCTTCAGAAGACATTGATTCATCCGCTGGTGTTGTATGTGTTTGTTTCATGTGATTTGCATGAACTTTGATGGTCCCGTCCACTCACATTATATGAACTTACAGAGATGGACTGTCTTTTTTCTAGAAATCACCATTTCTGTTCCACAAAAGAAAGAAAGCCATAAACATCTGGGATGGCATGAAAAAAACCCGGTTCCATTCCATTTTTGGGTGGAGTAAATTTTAATTAACATAGCGAGAAAAAGCAGACTGGCCAAACCCTTTGTGGTGGGCAGTATTAGTCCCGCTTCAGTGGTCTCATGCTAAGGAAACCAGTCTATGCTGCTTTGATTATTAAATCCGCTCTCCTTCTCTCTTCCTTTCGTTGAGGTCACTGGATGACTCCCACTGGGGGGGGGGAGGAGTTAAGTACACTGGTTAGAGGAACATGTTAACAGGCTGATTTTTAAATTCCCCTCAGATATTGTGCTATGACAGGCAGACACTGACTTCATTACAGAAGATGAGGTCCAGAATATGCATCTCCTCTGAATATGTAAACACGAGGGCCTGTGTATATCCAAAGGGAGAGAGGAGGCTACAAAAATTAAATGCTTCTGAATGAGGAAGTATTCCCTGAGCTCCCTCTGGTTCTGTAGCACACTGAACAAAGACTGATTTTCAACAAAGGGTTTATTTAAAATCTGTACTATGTAGAACAGTGATGGGCAAACTTGGCCCTTCCAGGCCACTTTCCTGCAGAGATTTGGTCCAACCCTGATAAAACTCACCTGCCTGTAGCTTTCTAGTAGTCTTGAAGACAATAATTAGCTGGTTCAGGTGTGTTTGATTAGAGTTGGAGCTAAACTCTGAAGGAAAGTGACCTGGAAGGGCCAAGTTTGCCCACCCCTGGTGTAGAACAAATGTAATGCTATTGTTATAATGTTAGAAAGATTCATATTTGAGCTTTATATAATGTACAGAGAAAAGGTGCTTAAAGGGATAGTTCACCCAAAATGAAAATCCTGTCATGGTTTTCTCACCCTCATGTTGTTCCACACCTATATGACTTTCTTTCTTCTCTGGAATACAGAATGTTGGTAACCAAACAGTTTTGGTTCCCGTTGACTTCCATTGTATGGACAAAAATACAATGGAAGACAATGGGACCCAAAACCAGCATTCTTCAAAATATCTTGTTTTGTGTTCCACAGAAAGTCAGTCATACAGGTTTGGAATGACATGAATAAATGATGACAGAATTTCCATTTTTACACCATAAAATGCACTATAACACATTTAGTCTTTTATAAATGACATGGGGTTCTCAATCCACTGAAATCAAAATGATAGTTTCAATGGGAAACGCTTTAAATACAGGTAAGTATTGTCCTAATACTATGTATTAAAAAAGTAAGCTTGAGTAATAGCAGAAGTAACCATGAAGAAAAGTAGAAATATAAGCGTGAACAATATGAAATTTTAATAGAAACCATTATTTGATTATGGTTATGGTTTAAGACAGGAGGTGTATCTTATAATATTTTAAACAGTTGTTCTCAACCAAGTATTTACAAACTTATAAGGGTGCTCAATTAAAACCATTGCTCGCTGCAGCCGGACTTTTATTTTGGTAACGTCATATCCGGAAGTTTCCTCACGTTGTAGTGGATGGTGAAAAAACACGTGTGGAACTCTAGTCTGTATACGTACAGTTTATGTTGTGTTTTTACTGTTTAAAAGTGAACATTACTTGTATTTAGCTTGAAACATACATTTCCGCCATTCAAATGAAGGATAATGCGCCATGTATCTCATCTTGTGAGTAGTCTAATGTGTCTGTGACAGTGTATTACAATTATTTAGCTACTAACGCTACACCGCTTGTTTTAATCGGCGTTTATAACCTGTTTACTGTCATGGCTGAGGAAGTGCTGATGCTCAACATCTCCTCGGCTCCCGTAAAGTTTCACAAAAAGACAAACCGAAGACCTCTGTCATCAGCAGAGAAATGGGCACAGGTGAGTCAGTCCTGCACTCTATGTTGTTGCTGGGATTGTCATTACACACTGATGCACACACAAGTTTCTTTCAGTCTGATTGTGAAGTGTTGTACCGCTTGTGTTACAGAAAAAGTGGGAATCAAAGAGGAAGGCTGTCTTTGAGCCCCAGGAGAGCAGCGCTTCCAAACAGAGGAAGATTAATCAAACTGGTCAACAGCACACACATAAGCAAAAGCTGCAAACCCCCAGAAGCCCCTCTCAGAGGAGTAATAATAGAGACACCGAGGAGAACGGGGACCGGAGAGAAAAGTCTGCCGCAAAGTCCCCATCAAAGGTGAAAACATATCCAAAGAAAGCTCCTGAAGAGCACGGAGACCATGGCAGACCATTTATCAAGACATCGTCTCTCTTCAGAAACAACCCAGAGATCCCTGATGTCCTCAGGTAGATGCAACACATTTGGGCTTGTGTGAATGGACTAGGGTCTTTCCCAAAATTGACTTTACATGCAATTTACTTGTCTTTTTTTTTGTCCCAGTCCTACTGTAAATCAAGTAAAGGAGAAAGTCTTCACCAGCAACACGTTTGAAGAACTGAATCTACATCCTCATCTGGTACGACCAAACCTCAATATCGCTTAACAGATCTCTCAACTAATACTTTAGTCTTATACCTTTCTCTCCTGATCTAAACAATTTTACAGGTGGCGACGCTCCATAAGGTGTTGAATGTGACCAGTATGACAAGGTACTGTAGCTTCATCTTATCTTTTGTTGTCCACCTCTTTGCATTTTTCTCATGTTCCTCTGTGTTTTCAGTGTCCAGAAAAAAACCATACCAGTGCTGATGTCTGGTAAAGATGCTGTAGTGCGCTCCCAGACTGGATCAGGTGCGATTCCTGGCCTGTTTCATGTCAATCAAATGTAGTCAAATATTGAATGTTCAGATCATTATTTTAATTGTTTACAAAAATTCCATGTGTAGTTAGTAACTGAGCTGTAAAAAATAGAAATCACAAAAATTTTTAAGTTAGATGTTACAAAGAAAGGACAAAAACAGAAATGACTTTAAAAGGTGTGATTATTCATATTTTTTCTTACATTTTTCCTACAGGAAAAACATTGGCTTATGGAATTCCAGTGGTTCAGTTCTTACAAGCGATGCAGCCTAAAGTGAAGGTAAGTCAACCTGAATGTCTAAAACAACACGCTCAACATCAAGACTTTACTGACTGATCACATAATCATTTTCATTTTGTGTTACTCAGGTATTGTTGGCTAAAAGTAATGCATTTGTTTATTTGAAATGGTTATGCCATTTATTGGTTCTGTGTGGAGAAATTGGGGTCATTAGCAGTCAGACATTCAACACTGTACATTATAATACACATTCAAATAAATTGGTCAAATTAATTTTGAGTCCGAATTAATGTTATCCATAAAATAGCTAATGCACCATTACAAGTGAATTTATAGTCATGTTCATCAACTTTGGGTGTCTTAAGTTTAATAGTTTTTTCTTCTTCAGAGATCAGATGGACCTTTGGCTGTTGTGATTGTTCCAACTAGAGAGGTATTATAAATGATACAAAACCATCATCGTTTTCTGATTTATCTTATAGCATATTAATTTCCCATTATATGTACCCTTTTTTATTTCCTTCCAACATGGATCTGTTTCTGGTTGTCCTTCAGCTTGCCCTGCAGAGCTTTCAGATGTTTCAGAAGCTTCTAAAAGTGAGGATTTGTGCTTTTGCTAGATTATTATGCTGTATTGACATCTTTGAAAGTGTACTACTATAGTAGTGATAAATACTCACTGTATTTATTCCTTTCAGCCTTTCACCTGGATTGTGCCAGGAGTTCTGATGGGAGGAGAGAAAAGAAAAGCAGAAAAAGCCAGGTTAACAGCACATAAACACAAAATATACATGCATCTACTGCAAGAGGTCTGAATTAGGTTTCTGTTGTTTATTCAAATGGAAAATTATTGTATCCCGCATTACAGAAGCATTTCAAATAGAATCACTGCAAATACACTACAGTTTAAAAGTTTGGAGTCAACAAGAAATTTATTCAGCAAAGAAGCATTCAATTGATCAAAAGGGACAGCAAAGACATTTATAATTTTACAAAAGATTTCTATTTGAAATAAATATTGTTCTTTAAACTTTACATTCATCAAAGAATTCTGAAAACAAATGTCACAGTTTCTACAAAAATATTGAGCCGCACTGCTGTTTTCTACATTGATATTAAGAATTGTTTCTTGAGCAGCAAATCAGCATAGCAGAATGATTTCTGAAGGATCATGTGACACTGAAGACTGGAGTAATGAATGCTGAAAATTCGGCTTTGTCATATCAGGAATAAATAACATTTTCAAATGTACTTAAATATAATTTTTCTTTTTAATTGTAATAATATTACTGTTTTTACTGTGTTTTTTTAATCAAATAAATGCAGCCTTGTTGAGTGAAAGAGACTTCTGTCAGAAACATTAAAATCTTACCAAACTT